TGTGGAATTCTAAATACATCTTAGTTTTAGCCTGTCTTGCAGAGACTTTAAAACAATCCAGTTAGTGATAGGTGCAACTGTATTGGAAGTGAATATGTGGGAAAGTTGAGAACCAGCAAAAGTCAGTATTCAAGGAGTAATGCAAATCTAGATGGTGGATCATGACATACAAGTTTTGTTCAAGAGCTTAATCTTGGGAAACCAGTGTAAAAATTGTCTAAGTAAGGACTACAGAGTAACATCCACAGTATTTCATCTATGTGTGTACGCGTGCCTATCTTTCAGTGATGCATTTGACTTTGAATACGGTGTGATAATCGTTCGAATAAGCCAAGGGTTTGACATATCGCAAGTCCTCCAGGTCCAAGGTATGTCAGGTCTTAATTAAGTGAATTTCAGTTAATCCTACACTAGAGGTATGTTTTCTGGAAATAAAGAATATTCATGTGATAATCCCACTGGATTACAAACACACCAATCTTAGGAAATCTTGATCAATTACTATAAGACATGAGCATTAATATTGTTAATTGTCTTCTCTGGAGACTGGTAGCTCTTATATGTAGTTAGTCACAATGTTTATCATATCAGTAATAAAAGAAATCAGGGCAGTACTGTCAAATGGAAACCTAGACATAAATTTTTGGTGTGTGGGTCATGAACTGGCAATAACTGTGTTAGGAAGGCTGTGCTCCCACTGGATGGCCAGCTCAAGAGGGAACCCCAATCCTGAAAATGTAGGATAGGATCAAAACTGTCGGGAGCTTTCTGTTTATAGAAGAATAATACTCCTCAGGTGCACAGTACTTTTAATTGCAGAGCATTTTCCCAGGTACAGAAGGGAAGAGAAGCAGGGCCGTCTGAACGCATTGGGCCTGATGGGCACTTGCCCGTGGGCCCCATACAAATCTGTGTATGTTAACCCTTGGAAAATTGGAAAACTTCCAAAATTAACGGTAGTTGTAGTTGTCGTACGGGCCCCAGTACACTGCTTTGCCCAGGGCCCATCATGCTGTCAAGACGGCCCTGAAGAGAAGTCTCTGTGCTTGTGAAGCTCCTTGTGTCAGAATTGGCAGACTGTGTCTGCTGGGGTGACGAAGTCCATGAACGAAGTCCAGGAAGCAGAAATCCCAGCAAGCGGTCAGGGATGGTTGGTGATAAGGGACCAACTTGTCCAAGTCTGCAGAGCTGAGAGTGATGGAAAGTGCAGGAACCACCGAACATGGGCATGCGCACCAAATTCCTGAGATGCAAACCCTGGAAAACAAGGATGGCTGGATGCAGGGCTCTCCGGGGATTAACTACTTGTTCTTGGAGCCCGCTGCAACTTTTTCCTTATATCCTCCTGGGCCTTGGCTTCATGCCTGATGCCCCTTAAGGACTTGGGGCTGGAGCTAAGCACTCTGTTGCCTCTTAGCCGATCCTCATTTGGTGCACTGCTTACTGCAGGCACTGCACGGTGAGCCCGGCATGGGTGGGCCTGGCCCTTCAGGGGACCCTGGCCCAAAGGGGCCTGCACAGGGGGTGGCGGCTTGGGTTCCAGGGACTCCTCGCTGTCACACTCAGGGGTCTCACCTCTGTAAGCAGTGCTCCTGCTCCTGCCTAGCCCTCAGCCCTGTCAAGAGTCCTGGCTGCTGGTTGAGATTGGGACTATGGCTGAAGCTATTACTCGCTTCCCAATGCGGTATGCAGATAACTGTGACAAATTATCTCATGAAGAAGACCTCTGAGATGTGGAGCTCCTTGGGGGAGGGGGTCCTTTGTACTGTGAGAAGCCTGGCTTTTCCTTCTTGAATTATCTCTGACACAGGTGACAAATGTTCGTTTGCAGTTGTGTATAGACATGACCAAAGATTTTTCTTTTGACGCTTCAGTTGGAAATCAATGTGTGCTCCGTCTAATACCGTTGTCATGGATGAAGGGATCTGCACTGATCTTTCATTCCAGGGAATTTTTGTCTGGAGAGGGACTCCAAGTGAAAGAAAGAGCACAGTCACTCAGTCCCACAAATCTGGATCATCTGCAGGAATCAGCTTAAAATCAATACTTGGCCACCTCCACCACCACCACCATCATCAGGCAGAATAACAACTCGCTGCTGCCATCTACTGCTGCTGCTTGTGTCTGCCCACAGTTTATTTTCAAGATGCAGGTGGAAAGTGCAGAATCTAGGGTAGCAAGCCATAAACAAAATTCAGATGGATGCCCAAAAAGACAGCTTCTGATCAAATTGGAAGGCAGCAATAAATACAGCTAGAATTTGGGAAAGGAAATTGACTGAGTCAAAACAGTCCAGTGATAGCATGGCTGGAATGAAATTGGGAGCATCACGGGCAACAAAAGCAATGTTAGCCTAAAATGGACTAATGTTAGTTGTATCTGTCACTTATATTGGTTAAAAACAGTAATGAGAATAAGTATTTTGACATCTCTATAGAAATCTATCCCGTTAGACTATAATGCAGTAATAGTAGACACCAATCCCATACAATGATAATGCTACAAATATTATGAAACAGAAATATAGTGTAAGATTAACACGAGATTACAAGAAATTGGAAATATCCTAAATTCTAAACAGAGCTGGTGATGTTCATGTAGATGACTGGAAACCAGGTTGGATTTTGGGGTGGAGGGGTGTATTTACATTCCAATGCAGCATTTTGTTTCAAAATGACAATCAGTTCTTTAGTTTTGACTAAAGTTTAGTTAAACTTTTAAATTAAACTAATTATATTTGTCCTCCCTTTTTATCTTAATGATAGACATCATTTTATTCAGATAATTCATCTTTTTGACAAGAGTATGCTTCCAAAATGCAGTGAAACGAAATACAGAAATATTTGTGCAAGAATTTTTTTTTAGATTGAGTATGCAGATGACATATGGATACTTGAGGTGGAAGTTAAGAGCAAGATCCCTGAAAAACTTTTTTTTTCTGCTTTCAGGGGTGTCTCTACTATTGGGCAATTCTAGCCTGTGAAAAGAAAACATTTAGGTCTAATATTACTTCCAGCTCAAAAAGATGCAAATGCCACAATGGGTATTATTGTCACTTATATTGCCAATCTCGCTTTGCCTTAACAGAAGAATTGAAGAAATTGGAGCAAGAGAGGCAGGCCCTAGAAGCCACCATTAAAGACAGTGAATTTGAAGAAGTAAATTGTGGTATCCATGGATTCTTTAGAAGAGTCACCAAGCTCAACATTACAAAGACTATGCCCAGAAAAGGCAAGGTGTAGAGCTGAAAACAAAATATTTGTAACGGTTCACTTGTCAATGTCTAGTTTGCCTGAGGGGGCATTTTAGTCTGGAGAGTATTGCATGAATTTCCGCAGATCACAATCTGCGCCCCGGTCTGACTCCCACAGTCCTGGTTTCCTACATTCTCTTAAGCCTAAATGGGGTGCATTGGGGAGATCTCAGTTAACATGTGAGGGGGCACTCTAGATTCATCCCCTCTCCATGCATTTCTCTCGCCCTGGCTTCTCCCGCTCCTTGCCAGACTCTTGCGGGCCAGGCAAAGGAGCCCTCCCTCTTCCATACAAAACCGAGGCACTGTAAATATTTGTAAATATTTTGATTATTAATCTAAACAAGTAACAGGATACAACTGAGATCCCAACATAATAACAACTACATAGACTTGGTCAAACTTTAATATAATTATGGTGATTGGCTCTTTCTGAATTCCATCCTGGCCTCCTTTTACAGTTGCTGTCACAGCCCTGTATATCTTACACCTCCATCTGAAAGCAGTTTCTCATACCTTAACTAGGACTTAACTAAGCAGGAACATATTACAGGAAATGAACCATTAGATTAAAAGGGCTTTAGACCCCTTTCTTCTAAACATAACTCAGTGGATGATGGTAACTTTAAATGAGTATTTAATGAGGTTTAGCATAGCTTCTGTTGGCAGAAAGGTTGCTCTTGTAATTTGTAAGGTAAATGTTAAAAAAAAATGTGTCAGCATTGTGGAACAGAAGCCAAAATAGGATATGTTATGCTGGAAAGCACAATTTGCCTGAAACCCTTTGTTAAACTACAGGGTGTCCCAAAAGTTACCATACATAGGGAAAATGGGAAATTGTGGCTGAATAAACACCTTTATTTGCAAAATATTCATTACAAAAATTTACAAAATATTCTTTACATGTTGATCACCTCTTTCTACACACACACACAGTCTCCTCTTATAAAGTTTTAACTTTATAACTTAAAGATATAAAGTTAAAACTTTATATTAAATAAAGTTCTAATATATTAAATATGTGTTTGTTAATTAAATATGAGTTTGTTAATTTTTTCTCTGTATGGCAACTTTTGGGACACCCTGTATATGCTAAAGTTAGGATCAACTTCCTGTTTTTCATTAAAGGGGTATGAATTAGTAGCAGATTGTAGATCTAGGAATAGAGGCATTTGGTTCACCCCAACATATGAGAACTTTAAAAAAATAATTTCTCATACTTGGTCAGGCAGCTAGCAGCTTGACTGCTTAGAAACTCAGAGGCATTGCCGCATTAAAAAGCACAACACTGTGAGTTCAGGTGGGTCCTCATATATTCCTGGTTCTGTGTTCTTGCCCATTCCCACCAAGGATATTTATGAATGAGCAAAGAAGAGATGGGAATGGACTTCATGGCCAGTAGGTGTTCCACAGCATCCACCGTCCTTCTGTCTATCTACATGCACGCACAGACATTGCCCCCAGGCGACAGTTAAGAGTCACCCATCTTGTACACCTGATACCCATCCTGGCAGAGGTATCCCATCTGAAAGTCTTTCTGAAAGCTAAATCATACGGCCTGAAGATCAATTAGGAGCAACCTGCTGACATTCACTCCCCCCTAGTCAATGGAGGAGTTAGCATAGTTTACGCCCACCTTGGAACGCCTATTGCCTAAATAGGCATTTGCTATGGTAAACATGCATGATCAGTCTTAAAATCATATTTGCGGGGCTCTTTCGATGGTGTACGAAGGCCCTGAACGTGGCCCCTCTGCTTTCAGACAGCGGCATCAACACCATCTCGTCGATGCATGTCGGGGAATTCAATCAGCGGCTGCTTGAATCAAGTACTCAGTTTAAAAAGAAGCAAGGGAAAGGTACCATCGACATATGGTGGCTGTTTGACGATGGAGGTAAGGCATGTGAAGGGACATCACACAGACAGCGGGGCGGAGGAGAATAGTGGAGGCAAACAGGGCTTGCAAAATGAGCAGTGGCAGGAGTCTCCAAGTGCCGTTTTTTGGTATAAAGACAGGGTACAATTTCAAATAAATTAAAAAAAAAAAACTGAATCTGACAGAAAGTCAAAGAAAACATGCTTTTAGTAGAAAAAAGTTATTTATTTTCTTACACAGGTTTCTAATTTGCTTTATTTTGTAAAAATATTTAATGTATCTGATTTTTTCACCCAGGATTAATACTCTTAATTCCATATATTCTCACTCTTCGGAAAAAATGGCAAGCTTGTAAATTAAGAATCTTTACTGGCGGAAAAGTCACACGTCTTGAAGAGGAGAAGTTAATGTAAATATGCCTTCTATCTTCTCAAGCTTAATATGATTTTATTGCCTACCGAGACTATTTGCACATGGAGTGGGGAGAAGGAAACTGATTTTAATGACGTATTATCAATCCTACTTACAAGATTGTTATAAGAATCACTCAGATAATGTGTATGAAGAGATTTAAAGTCTCTCGTAGTAATATGAGTATCAAGCCTTTCATATTTTAATCTCCTTACAACCTTTCCTGAGATCTTTCCTGTGCTCTAAGTATGTTTTTTATCTGTTGCTACCACAATTTAGTAACTCTGATCCATGTACAGAGCATTACATATTTCTGGAAAGAAAGAACAGCTTCTGTTCATGCAAATCTCCATGAGGGTAAAAATTAATCTCCATACGTGTAAATATTCTTACATTTTGAATTGATTTAGGTTTCAGCTAAAGCAATGCATTCATAGACCTGGTCACAACACTGTACAAATCAGAAGCACTAAAACATTTTTATAAATTTCAGCATGTATGATGAGTAGTTTAACAAGACTTAGTGCAATCCTATGCATGTCTACTCAGAAGTAAGTGTAACTTACAATTGCCTTCATGTGCGTGCATAGACTTAGGGTGCAATTAAATGCATTTTAAACAGAAAAAGTCCATCCTGGCAGGGGAATGTTGAAAGCTGGAAGGCTTTTGTTGTCTTTATCAACCTTTAGAAACACAACAGTTAAAAATGCACATTCCCTTTTGTTTTCAGGATTGCTTCACTCTTAAGTAAATTCAGAATAAAATTTGCTGACATTAATATAATTGGTGACATCAATATGAAACCAAACAAAGAGAGGTAAGAGTGGTTTTTAAACGTATTTTAAATAAGGGGTTGAAATGAAAACATTCTGAATTTTATTTTAGCAGTCTTATAAGGAAACTGCCCAAAACCTGTGCAGTTCGAAAGTCTGAAACATTATGCATATTAAGCAAAATGAGCAATTTCCACTTACCATTTCTTTTCAAAGCCAATTATCACCACCACCACCCAAATTAACATAGTTAAAAGTGCTGGTCAAGTGAGCTCAATGGATTTGAATATGTTTAATCCTGTGTTGAATTACAGGTGAGGTATAAAAGCAATGCGGTGGTGGTGGTGGCAGCACAACAGGAGTACCAAAGTGGACACACATGCACGGCTGTTTTAGTGTTGTCCTTCTGTTCCAAAATGCAAATCTGAGCGCTACAAAAGCCATACAAATTGGTCTGATCCTTGCCCATGACAGGTTTCGGTCAATGAGAGGCAGCAATAGTCAACACTGAGAATCAGCAGCATCAGTGCATGTGGAACAACGAGCAGTGGCTTCACTTTCCATCTTAGCATCTTCAAAAAGCAATTTTCCGTAAATATTCCATGGCCACTATTCTGCACCATCACATGCTGACGAACAACCAACTGAGTTCAGCAAGCCCGAAGGCACAATCCTTTGCATGTTTACTTCTATTGCATTCAATTGAATGTTGAAAAATGGAACTCAGTTTTTAACTACTTTTATTGTCATGCTTATTTATTGCATTCTACCTTTTTATTACATTATGTGGATTGTACTTTTTCTGTTTATTTCTTGTTTGCTGGATTTTGTTGTAAGCCGTCCTGAGACGCTGGTAAGGACGGAGCAGCAATGCTGTAAATAAATATAAATAAACAGTGCTTGTTTCTCCAGGTAAGTCTGCATAGGATTACAGCCCACACACGCCTAATGGTGAGCCATGGCCTAAATACTTACTTCCATCTTCGCTTTAATGTTAAAGTGAACTGTAATGGAAGACAAAAATTAGCACTGTAACTGCAAGGTAGGAAGCCTGGAATGAAAAAGCCATTTTCTTCTTGTGTACAGAATATACTACACTTTTCAGCAATGTATTATATTATAACAAAGGAAATGACATGAGAGATAGAGATGAGCTCAGTGACAAATGTAGACCTGTCTAGACAAGGTATAGCCCAGTGGCACCGCACAGCTGTACCCGAGCATAAAACCTAATGCATGCAGTTTAGAAGTTTTGAATGGAATTCAGCTACAATTCTACCGCTTACCTTAGAATATCTGTGAAATAATGAGTTACGGTCCTGCTGTGAATCCTCCTTTGTAATTTCTGTTCCAGCTGGAAATTCTTTGAAGAGATGATCGAACCATACCGCCTTCATGAAAGCTGCAAAGATTTAACAACTGCTGAGAAATTAAAAAGAGAGGCACCGTGGAAAATCACCGATGCAGAGCTAGAAGCATTCAAGGAGAAGGTAAGGAGCTGTGTGAACCATTCCGCTTGACAATGTGAGATGGCTGGATGAAAAAGGAAATTGTGCACGTGTAAGTGGGGAAGGGGAAGGGAAATTTGTTGTGTTAGGAAAAAATGGTGGGGGGCACAAACTCTGCGTCTAGCAAGCTATGCTTGATTTGTAGAACAGGAGATGCGTAAGCATAAACCATGGAGCAACTCAGGAACAGGACTCATGGTTTGTTGTTGGGCTGTGAACTGTGGGTTGCTCAGCCTGGCTTAGTGCACTTCAGGACTTCCTTCAGCACATTATGGTACTATACCGCTTTTCTTTTGGGTCGAGGTCACCCATGGTTCACTGAAAATGGGGTAACCGAGCCAGCAGATTCAGGGATCTTGCTGTACTTCAAGGCATACAATTCTCCAACCAGCTATCAGAGGCATGCACCCCCCGCCCCGCAGGACAATGAATAGACAGGATATGAATCTAATGCAGAGTTTTGCAAAATGAAATTTTGTGATCTAGCTCCAAAAAAATTGGAGAAAATATGAAGTAAAACTGGTTCTTGTGTTGTTTTAATTATTTTTTAAATTTTATTTTTTTAAAGAACACAAGTACAAAATACATCATAAAGGAAACAAAACAAGAAACACAAAAAACCCATTATATATTTATTTATTTATTTATTTATTCATATAAACCACTTAGTGCTCCCTCCACCAGGATCATGGCTGTATAATATTTTTCCTTTGGTTTCTTTGTTTCTAGCTCTAACTTGCTGTTCTTTCAGGAATACCCCCTTCCATCCAAAATTGCAGTGCATCAGCCAAAGATTTAATACCCTTCCCTTTTATTAGTACATATTCAATAAACAAACCCCATATGTCATTAAAATCATTCTTCTTTGTCAATCCTTTTTTCACCCTAATCTCATACTCAGTTTATCATTAACAGCTATATTCCAAACTTCTTTATCCCATTCAATTGACTGTTGAATTCCATTTCTCCTTTCAATTCTTTGCTATTATCAGTTTTGCTGCTGTTACCAAATTTATTATTAATTATTTGATATTCCATTTCTTTTCATAAAATATTAACAGTAATGCTATTCCAGGATCTGCTTCAATTTTTAAGTTCGATATCTTACTACTCTCCTTAAAAACCGTTATCCAAAATTTCATAATATTTTCACAGTCCCACCACATATAGAAATAGATAGCCATGTTTTGTCCACACCTCTAACATAAATTAGAATATTTATTATCCATATATAATAAGTTTACTAGCATCATGTACCACTTCCATACTAATTTATAAAGTTTTCCCTTAATTCTAATTGACATTCTTGTTAATATTCTCTTATTAAAGTGAATATTAAATTATGTAATTATTTTAATATTCTCATTACTTTTAAATATTCTCTTAGCCTATATTTTAATAGAACCTTATATATCTCACTTATAATCCCCCTTGTTTGCACACTACCTTGAGTCTCCCTGTGCATCACAATCTCCTCAAATTTAATAAGGTCTCTACATTTTCTCTTCAACCATTCTCTAGTGCATGGGTCCTCAAACTACAGCCCGGGGACCGGATCCAGCCCGCCATGCCCATTTGGACCTGCCGCATGCATGCCCGCACCCCCCTCCACCCACCTTGCCCTGCCCGCGGGGAGGCAGCAGTTTGCTCACTTGGAGAAAACGATCTCCAAGCAAGCAAGCTGCTGCCTCGTGCGCCCACCTTGCGGTGCGGGCCCGCCCACGCCTTGCCTCCCCTCGCCGCACACCCCACCTCCGCCTCAGCGTGCACGCCACCCCCACCCCCTTGCTGGCCCACATGCACCGCCAGCCCACCTTTCCGGCCCGCGCTTGGCACCAGCACCTTTCAACTGGCCCCCTAGTGAAAAAGTTTGAGGACCCCGCTCTAGTCCATTGTTCCAATTGCATAACATTAAACCAGGTTAATTTTTCTTTCCCAAAAATGCCGTTATCCTTTTCTTATTATCCAATTTCTCCATCCAATCTTTTACCCTAAGTATTTGTTTTTCTTTGTATTGTTTTAATTATAATAGTGTGCTAACCATTCAGACTTAGAAATTATGTAATGCTAACCAAATACAGACCAATCTGTAGGATACATAAAATATAATTCATATTCTTCTAAAAGATATAATTCTTTAGAAGTTGTGTTAGAGGAAATAGAGAACTTGCTGATTTTCAGTAACAACATTATAGTATAGTGCAGTACAGTATGGTGAAGTATCGTATAGATAGTATAATGATAATTGTAGACCTACAAATGCATTCAATTCTTAATTTATCTAGCTAAATTTATCTGTAGAAGTATTATACTTCATAGCCAACAGTATTTTATTAAGAGGAGAAGAAAAATAAATTTGGGTGCATCTTAATTTGACAGTGATAACAGAAAACAGAAACTTCCATAAAACGTTATTCCCAACCAGTCTTAGTAATCATCTTCCCTCCGTTTTATGAGCGATGTAACAAATAAATCAAAGGTAAGAGTCACGTTATAGTCAACAAGCTTGTCCAAAGGCAGTGGTAGTAATAAATACATCAGAGCTTCATGTCAACCTATTGTTTACAAAGAACTATGCCTTATATGACATTCTTGTAATCACTCAACTCAAAGCATACCAACGGAAACTCTGATTTCCATGTTCAAATCTGTTTGTTTCCAACAGAGTTGCCGCCAAGTCCGTCTGAATGAACTTTTACAGGAACATTCTAGAGCTGCTAATCTGATTGTTCTGTAAGTTATACAATTTCAGGTCATATGTGTACTTTAATTACCATTTTAATCTGGGCTCTTTAGTTGACTTAGGCATTCTGTGTTGGAGGAGGGGTAGCCAAGGATCCACAGGTGAACTGTAGTCCTTAAGTGAGGGTCATTTATATCCAGATGTTGCTACAGCTGAAGGAGTTTTGTGGGGGAAAGGCAATATAGAAGCTTTAGTTGTCCCTCGAAGTGCACTTTTTATCCAGCCCAGGAGTATGTGAAGACAAAATAGCACCCTTCTCACCAATTTTAAATGAGATCCATAAAATTACAGTTTTCGAGAAAAAACTAGAAATACTATGCCTGAGGAATATCATTCTTATTGATCAATTTCACTAATATTGTCATCCTATTTAATTCAACAGGAGCCTACCAGTGGCAAGAAAAGGAATTATATCTGATTACCTCTATATGGCTTGGTTAGAAATTCTGTCAAAGAATCTGCCTCCAATTTTGCTTGTCCGAGGCAACCACAAAAATGTATTAACGTTTTACTCTTAGCAAGGAACACCTGGAATCTGTTATATGCATTTTGCACACAGCAAAGTCACAAACATCATAAGGTAATTTTAATAAACAAAAGGCTCTCAGTGACCTCATTCACATCTCATAATACACCAGAATTCTTGTTTTGGCTCTGTGAACAAGCTGGCATGCTGCTTCAAGCTGTTTGGTCATTCCCAGCTGTCTTCTGCAGGTAGGAGTGGCTAAGTGAACTGCAGGCCTTCTGTTCATGCTTCTTTTACTATGACTGGAAACTCAGGCTTGTCTTCCTCCAGATAAGCCAGACTCATAAACCAGGGTTTGTTCTTGGCTTATGATTCTGGTTTATCTGGGAGGAGACAAGCCAGAGATCCAGTTATCGTGTTTCAATAAATAAACCACAGATGGAAAGTCTGTGATTTGTTTAGCTGCTCTTTCTTGAAGCAAGAGTGATTGGGCCCCATACGCTAGCATACTGGGTCATTCACAATGTGTTCTAAAGAATTCTGGTTCATTGTGACTTGCAAATATATTCCCCAAGATACTGAAAATCACTTTGGCATCACCATCTGACAGCAGTGCCCACATCATAAATACAGAGAGTGTTTCCATTCTCAGCCCTTATGTAGCCAAGCGGCCACCATCCACACACAAACAGAAGGCCCCTCCGCTTGGGGGCTGCCACATCTCCAGCTCTACCCATTTTTTTAAAAAAATATTACAATAGTTATACCACATCACTTCAATGTGTTTTTCTGCATCAGTGGAAGGGGATTTGGTTCCAATCTTATTCCTGTTCAGTCAGTGGAATTCAGGGATAGGACGACACCACAGATGATGATAAGTTAAAATGAATTTTCAATCTATTGAATGGAGATAAAGTGCAATCATATCAAATTGCCATGCACCTAAACAGGTTTCAAAGCAAAATTAATTATAAGTTAATTCTTTTTTCAGGATTTCATATGAACATTATGATTTCTCTAGATTTATAATCTCAAGTAATGTAATTAAATATATTTGCTAAATTGTCACAAGTCCTTGAAGGACTTTGATATTCTTTTAATGTCTGTTAAATCTTTTCTGACTAGTATAACAATATTTTAATCATTGGATTTCTAACCATGCTAAATATTTTTACAAGAATTAAACCAAATGAGAATTAAAGTATGAGTTCTACAGTGATATTGTATGTCTTTATGTACAACTTATTGTTTCACCATTCAGATCACGTTTCAGAGGGGTAACCATTAGTCAGTTGCAACACAAATGTCAAGGAGTCCAGTAGGATCTTAAATGCTAACAAATTAAGTATGGCCTAAGACAGCTTCCATGAACTGACGTCATCTGAGGCATGAAGTTTTATCCTTACATGAATATTCAACAGGGAGTCAGTATCAGGAAATGCAAAGCATAAAGTCTGTGACAATTCAACTTTAAAGTTTAAACGTGCAAAAAAAAAAAAAAAGCACAGCTATTCACAACAGCAGTATTTAGTGCTAATATGCTCAACTTCGATTGTTAATCATTTTAGAATGCAATTCCATTAATCTCTCTGCAACACTCCTATCTAGCTTGGCAGATTACAGGCGTTTTATGCATGGGAGCAGAAACATGGAGGTGAAGGTTGCCACTCTGAGGTTGATCTCATGACCTCGGGTCTGCAGTCAACATGGTTTTCCATGCCAGCTGTGAGGGCAGGGGGACCAGGCTCTGAGGGCACAGTCCCAGCCCTTACCTTGGAACAGGTTTCTGAGATGCTGCATAGCAGGACTGAGTGACCCAATTTCTTTTTAGTTTTTGTTAAACGCATTTTGATGTGCAACTATTGTTATTTACGTCATGTGCATCTCACAGGAGTGTTATTCTATCGAAACGTAATTATTCCAGCCATAAACTACTTTTACAGAAAATCCTTCTATTTGACTACTCACCTAGAAGTCATAGGCAACTTGGGAACAGGTATGATCATGGAATATGCATGCACGATCCATCTCTCCTCTGCCAGACCATTTGATTTCCATACCTAAGAAGACATGCTGAAGGGTGGAAATCTTAGAACAGACTGTAGATTCAGAAAACGAATCCTACCATGCAAGAACTCTGGATGACCCAACAGACTCACAATATTAACATTTCACTGTGGCTTCTTGTGTTATACAAACCCACCCAGGGTGTCATGAATGATCCTCAAGTGATTTTTCAACCAGATAATGACCAGACATATATTTACTTACCTTCAGCAAGCAAGTGGTACGTAACATAAACATTCAGGCAATGGCAAAGACCAAAAATAACAGCACAAGTGTCTTCGTGTTGGATGATTGTATGGAACACATGAAGGTTTTGTCCATCTAGCTTAGTAGTAGCTACTCCACTGGCAGTGACTGTCCAAAATTTATTTCCCAGCCTTACGAAGAGATGCTAGAGATCAGACGCAGGGCTTTCCACGCTCAAAGCAACAGAGACACTGCCTAGTAGTCACCGTACTGCATTATGGGTTTCTCACAAATTTTTTGTTTCTAGCAGAACTCAAACTAATTTATCTGCCACACTATCTAATATATACACTGAAGGGCATCAGTGTACCCCTGCAGCTGTGAAGATGACCCGCCACACCCATGCACACACACCCACAACTTCATGGAGCTGCTCTTTGGACTAAGGTCCTAGGAGAGTCTCATGCTGTCCAAATCAAATTCTTACAAGCCTTTTTATGAATCCCAAGATGTTGGAAATGGGACCCTGCCCTTTTGACGTAAGAGCTTGGTTGGTAGCCTCAACTTTTTGGCTTATGCCCTTTATTTTCAAAAGAGGAGCAGGGTTGCTAGCCCATTTATGTGAGGGCTCTTGCTGTAGTGATTCAGCCAAGTACGTTGCACAAAAGATTGCTTGTGTGCAACTCTAACCCATTTCATTCTTCAAATTGGTTACAATAATGCATCTGGCTTCATAAATCAAAGACTTTGGGATATTGCTTTTCAAGAATACCTGGCTTACTCACGTACCACCTGCTGACCTTGTTCTTTGGATGTCCCCTATGATGATCCTTTCCAGTTCACTCCCTACTTCAGCACTCTGCATGGTGCTAAATACTGCAGGGCTTTTATTCTGCCCAGATGTAATGTTCTTCGATACCAAATGCTTTGGAGGCAAGTACTGTGTGCAAGCAACCTTCTTTCCTCAACTATATGCCACTGTAATAACCAAGAGGTAGAATACATAAATTGTGTCCTGTTCTATAACTTCTGTGCTTGAGTTTAGAAGGATACAGCGGGCCCCTTACTGACCAAAGTACCAAGAAGATCAGTTCGAATTATATTAAATATCCAATAGAATATAAAATTCCAATGGCATCACCAATAGTAGCTAAAATTTGTTTGTAGCAGTGTAATCAAGATAGTAACTCACAACAACACAGCCCACTATTTGAAACTGGAAGGATTTTATTTAGGAACCTATTTGTTATTATTGGAACACCAGAGATTTGTTTAGGATATACTTTGAATCTGATTGCCTTGAGGATTCTGATGTTTTATTTAGTTGGGGGGTCTATTGTCTGCAATAAATTTGAATGACTGATTAATAGCCTCTTAGCAGTTTAGTTGCATGTCTGTGTGCATGCATGTGTGTGCACGTGTCCTTTTTTTTGGCAAACGAGTAATCCGTGGGCTTATTTACAAGGTTGTAGAAGTGATGTATGCATGGCAGCACTTCTACAGAAGACAATGTTCTCTTCTCTCTGATGATTCAGCAAAGTGCATTATTTAATCACAATTTCCAGAAGGGTAGCCTGTAAGTCTGTCGCAGCAAAAACAACAGAGCCCTGCAGTATCTTAAAGATTAACTACTTTATAGTAGAAGCTTTCGCAAACTACAGTCCACTTAATCAGACCCATTATGTATCCAAGAATTCCATCCAATGGGAAACCTGTTAACCTCGAAACTTAGGGAATTATGGTCATGCTAGCTTGTTTCCTACCTTGTAAACTAGCTAGATGGCCAATTTAGAGCATCTAGCTGAGGTCCTTCCAATGTGGAGGGAAGGGGCTGGAACACTTCCAGGACAATTTGTGTCTGATTTGGTGTCTTCTTCTTCACTGCCTCCTGATTTGGTGTCCACTTTGCCCAGTCTCAGGGGTCCTGTCCACACTGGCTGTGAAGGGAGGATGGACTGGACCAGGGATTCCCAGCTGCAAGGCTGAAGCTCTTTTCCAGCCTTTGATCTGGGGATCTGGCACCTCATGGCCCTCGAGACACAGGTCTGCTCTGCCCCAGACTTATAGGCCCATTACTTTGGGGGCCCCCAACACTGAGGTCTGAAGTAACTGCATCACAAAACAGTTGGGTATTAGCACAGACCTCCTTATATGAGTGAATTAAGTCAGGACCCTTGCCCTGAAAGGCAGCTTTTATCGTATTTTAATATGATAGAATAAAAAATAGCACATGCAATGTGATAGGAAGCATTTGCCCTTATTCAGGCCACAGGAAATAGAAGAGAACCTCTTGATGAATTCTTGCTGGCCATCTCACATTGAAAGGTCCTTGATATGCATTTGTTAAAGGCTAGCTTGAAGTCAGTTGCAGGGTCCTGAGAGGTTGAATTCCCCGCCCCCACCTACCTCACTGATTGATTCAAATACATCCTGTTATACTTCTCAGCTCTGATTTCTTGCAAATGCTGTAAAAGGCCCCAAAACCATCCTTATAAACATACCCTCTCATATTCTGATCAATGAGCTCTATGCTTTTAGTTCTGCTTTCACTAAGCTTTTTGCACATTAAGTATCATTCTCTGGTTTATTGAGCATTACGGGAAAGTTGCATTTTAGTTCTACCCAGAGAAAAGCAAATTTCCATTATGCATCTTAGAATGCAACATTTTCTTACATATACATGTATTAGACTATCTCCTGCTCCTGTTCATAATTCATAGGCTATCTCCGACAGTCTCTGGATTCAAATGATTAGAAATGTTAAACTCAACTTGGCATAGAAGTGCACTTTATTTTTCACATTAATTTTAAGGCTGTATCATATGCCCACTTACTTGGAAATGAGTCCTGAGGGCTGAAAAACATAGTCAGGCTGCATGACTAACATTTATTTACTTCATAAATCTATATATTGCTTAACAAAGAAATGTATCAAAATTGCATACAGTACAAAGACACAGTCAAAAACCAAATAAAATATATAGTAAAATGTCCATTCCAACATATAAAAGTGTAAACAGAAGCATAATCACCAAAATTAATATGGAAAATTTGGGTGAAAAACACTTTTTAGAATGTGCCTAAAGCTCACAATGCCTTAATTCCATGGGGAGAACTTTCCACCACACACCCTTCTATAAGTGGCTGCCAGATGACTTCAGGGTACATGCAGAATTAGGCTTCCCTAATGAGCAAGAGAAGCTGGCAAGGGTGTAAGAATACAGAACAAAGAATACAGTGGGTTTGCGCACAGAAGTATATAAGAGGGCAACTAACACAATAAAGTATTTGGGCCATTTGTCCTAGATTCCCCCCCCCCCCCCCCCAAAGTCAGAAGCATATAAAATTACAGACAATGCAAAAAAACATATTTTAATTCCTCTCCAATAAAGGAGGCTAGAATTAATTGACTGGTACTAGATTCAATAGGCACAGAACACGCAGCAGGCAGCTTCACACATCACAAGAAGTTATAGTGATTTCTTTTATCTTGGTGATTTTCATGTCATCCAGACCTAGTCATGCCATTTTTGTGCAGAATCTTTGGTACCTTGGACAGAAATCAGTGCTCTGTCCCATGCTTAACTATGGCTTCTGCAATTGTTCAGACCTGGTATCTCCATTTTACCACTGTTGGTATGAAACACTATGGAGTCCTGCAGAAAGAGAAGCCATGGAAGTGACCACTCAGCCATCCATTCTGTACTACTGATGTACAAATCAATAGATATAACTTACACAGGTATAATCATGCAAATATTAACATATAACTGGACCAGAAAGGGCACCTTTTTCTCTGAAATATGCATGAGTAGGTCCTTGAAATGTAGCTGACACTAACGAGGAACCATTCCAGAGAAAGATAGCTGGCACTTGACAGATAACAGCAGCTCAACAAAGAGTTATTCACACCAACCCACCGCACCCTTCTCTTCCCTGGAATTATACCCCATTCTTCCCTGCTCCTTCGGAGCATCTTTCTCTTTGGTGTGTATGCAGAAAGATCACGCCATTTTAACTTTTTTATGTCTGTCACCTATTAGAAAGTGTTAACAGTGTTATGTGCAACCCCTTAATGACCAATGTATAAAAGGGCCAGCTGAGGATCAGGTGTGCCATCTGGAACAATTCACTGGCAGCCGGTTATTCTCAAGAATAAACCTCCCTGTCGTCTCTTTTGGGCATATGCACACCAGGACACAGACCATTTGGTCAACACTATCCTAAGCACCCATGCAATACACGTATCATCAACTACTTTATTCTTATGGGCCGAGTGAGGTGACTGGCTCCATTTACAGATAGAAAGTGCACAAATGCCCAGAAAAGGAGGTGATTCAAGCAAAAATGTTTATTATGATTTAATGAAAAGTCCTTTTTATTAAATTAAAAATAGTGGGGATAAATTCCAGGAACAGCTGTTCTGTTTATGCCTCTTTTGTGGCTTTCCAGAAGCATCTGTTTGGCTGCCATGGAAAAAGAAAGCAAATCTAGATGGACCTTTGGTCTGATGCAGTAGGGTTCTTACTTTCTCATAGATCATGCTGTGGCTTTTACTGAATTCATAAAGATTTACCACCAAATAAGGTCTTGCTAGACAGAAACCTTTATTGGTATTTTTCTTTGGATTTCACCATTTTAAATTTCTTGCACATTATCTGCATACTTATATTGTTCAGAAAACAATTACTTTTAAAACAATTACTTTTAATGCCTATCAACTAGCGCATAATTTCCAAAAAGTAAGAGTGATCAAAGTGAGAGTACAAGCTGCACACGCTCGGGAGCAATTTTTAATTCCATCGCTTCCAGATGAACCCTGTCTCTGTGCGAAGGGAATGCACCTGTTGCAAGTTGAGCCTTTTTGCGAATTAGGGTCGTACTTTTGAGACGGCAGTCCTCTTTGAGGGGTGTGCAACAGTAGACGGCAATGTCAAGCTCGGCCATTCATTCCACTAGCCCCGCTGAAGCCTGATTTAGTCCGCCTTTTCCGCCCTCCCTGTTCTTTTTTCCTTGTGCGTGGTTTAAATTATAAGCCTGCAGGCTGGGACTATCGTCTTTTGCTGATTATATCTATAGTATATAGTTCAATGCACTCCGTTTCCTCTTCGAAAGACACCTGTATCTGTACTTATCAGCAAGCACGTGCACATGTTGTGCCAGCCCGTGGCCGCTTTTGCCGGCGTGTTGTGCCCTAGCCGGACAACGGGGGACACTTCGCAAGGAGAGTGGGAACAAACGCCAAGGCCGCCATCTTGTCTCGCAGCATCTGGGCGCCCGCAGAGCAGGAGATGGGCGGCGGCGGCGGCGGCGGCGGCTTTTCTCCTGCCTCGTCCCATCCAGCTCCGTAAGCACCGCTCTCCCTGCACACTGGAGGCCAGAGAAGGTCGCCGGCCGCCATGACCACCGCCGCGCGCTTCCTCAGGCAGCTTCCCGAGTGCAGTAAGAGCCGCGCGCCGGGCGGGGGGTGGGGGGAGGTGGCCGTTTCTTCCGTTGTTCAACGGCCGCGCAAACGGCGCGAGGCCCCGCCCACTTGAGAAAGCTTTGCCCGCTCGGGGCGACGGGACCCCCACCCTCTCACCCCCCGCATGTCTGGGGATTGGACTGTTCTCAGAAGCGGTTCTCATCCTTGGCGAACGTTTTAAAGAGGCGACACCATTCCGGGGGGGGGGGGGCGGCTGGATGGGAGAGGACTGCAACGAAGGCTGGGCCAATTTCAGAGGGCACTGCAGCTGTGCACTCCTACAGCTCCCATCAGCCGCAGCCTGTGTGGCCAATGGTTAGGAATGCTGGGGGTTGTGCTCCTAAATCTCTGATAGACGCCTGGTAAAGGAAGCTATCCTATACAATTATGTTATGTTAGTCGCGAAGTCGTGCCCGACCCATCGTGACCCCATGGACGACATTCCTTAAGGCTCTCCTGTCCTCCACCATCCCCCGGAGTCCAGCTACGCTCACAATACAATTGTAGGCAACAACAACAACAAAAAAAGGCCTACAACTCCCAGCATGCCTCACTCAAGACGGTTAGGGCATATGGGGAGTTGTACGTCTTTTTTCTGTCAAATATATGAAGGATTGCGCTCTAGCTGAAGGAAATGATTTATAATTGTCACACCGATCCGCAATTAAGGCTCGAATCAGTTTCTTGTCAGGGCAAACAGGTTTATTTACAATTGAATACATGGATCCATGGGTGCCTAAAATAGGAACACCCCCATGTTACTTTCCTTAGGGTTATCTAGAATACACAAAATGGGAGTGAATACAATACACGGGAAGGTGATTGGATACATTTCACTCTAATTAGATGTCTTTGACAAGCCTTCTAAAGTTACCTTGAATAGGCCTGCTAGAAAAGATTACATTTGTGAACTTTATAGGGTCAAGGGGGCACTTTGGCAAACCCATAAAGTACAAAGATAGCAATTGACAGTTACCCACTAATGGAGTGGGGTCCTTTGGTCTTCACCACCAGACACTGCGGCACCCTTTGTGATCTGTTTATGGCAAGGCAGTGAGGCGGGATGATATACCTTGTTTTTCTGTGTACATAAGATAGACTTCAAGAGGACCAATTTCTCAGTTTCTTAGAGCACCATTGCTGGTCTTTTGAGAATGGGAGGCGCCACTATTGGTATTTGCGATGCCCTGACCCGGCGTCTTAGTTTTTTGGGGGGAAAGTGGGAGTTCCTGTTCTTTCGAACAACATCGGGAATAAATGCTTTAAGACCGCCACCCTCAGCCTTCCCACAGTGCATCTTCCCGTGACTAAGCACCCCCGTATGCGAAGAGCAGAAACGTGTCTCTGCTCCTGTTCTGGGTGGTCGTTGCGCGGGAGAAAGAAGCGGCGAGCTCTTGCTAAAGCGCCGCATCCGCTCTCTTTCTCGACGCTCCACTACGCCAAGCTCTTCTGGGGAAGAACACCCGGAATATCGCTCTGGCGAGTCCCTGCAGCAGTGCCGCGCGGCTTATCTCTATGGCGCTCCTGGCCCGCTCCTTCGCCCGAAGCCCCGCCCGTCGGTTCAAATAACTTGGCGGGAGAAAAGGCGCGAGCCGCTCACTTCTGCCTTGGTCTCCTCAGAGCGAGCGGGGTCCCCCTGGTCTGCCGCCGCCCGCCTGCCCGCCATGCCTTGCTCTGAAGCCGACCTTGCCTCGTCCCCCAGCAAAAGGTTCAAGGCCTCCATCAGCCCCGAGGGGCCCAGCCAGAAGCTCCGGTTCGCCAAGCTTTCCGAAAATGCCTTTACCCCTTCCAGGGGCTCCTCGCGGGCGGCGGGCTATGACTTGTACAGGTGAGCCGACGAGCGAGCGAGTATTCTTTCTTACTATTTACGTGCATTAAAGGAAACCTCCTTTTATAGGAGCACGGTTGCTCGCCGAAGCTTTGGCTCTAGGCGGTCCATCAGGTGCGCTTCTGCTAAAGCAACTGATTTCATTGAAGAGAGAGAGAATGTGTGTGTGTGTGTAAAAGCATGCTGCATTGTTTTTGTGGAGTATATTTTATCTGGGTACTTTATTGTTGTTCATAGGGCTTTAATGTTTGTAAACGACTCAGAGCCCTCTGAGCTATTAAAGCAGTATCTAAAAGCAGTAAATAAATATGTAGGAAAAACCAAGCCTAAGAACAAGATTCGAAAATGATAAATCTAATTATTTTATACTTTATCTCCCCCCCACCCCAATTGCAAGATCTTTTACCTCACTTGTACTTGGGCTACGTCTACACCAGGCATTTTTATGGGTATTCACATGCCTGACTAGTCACATGAGGTTCACCATTCTCTTGCTAGTTCCACCATTACAGAATAGCAGAGTTGGAAGAGACCAAAAAGGCCATCGGGCCCAGCTCCCTGGTCAAATAGGCACATTTTAAGTTAAAGCATCCCTCTCAGATGGCTGTCCAGTTGCATCTTGAGTGCCTCTGTGTGGGAGAGCCCATGATCTCCCGATGTCACTGGTTCCATTGTCCTGCTCTAACAGGAAGTTTTTCCTGGTACCTAGCCACAATCTGGCTTCATGTAACTTGAGGCCGTTTTTCCATGCTCTGCATGCTGAGATGATCAAGAAGAAATTCTGGCCTTCCTCTTTGTGAAAATCTTTAAAGGACTTGTAGAGGGCTATTATATAGCATAGGTTTTTTCACACTTTTAATAGTGTGATGTTGTCATTTTCCCCTAATGTGTATATAGAGAGGTATGTGCTAAGCCTGCAGCATTGGTCTGGGCACAGGAAGAGTGGCCTTGGTAGGCTGAGATGGAAGTGTTCCATTGACAAAACAGCAGCGACTCTGAGCAGCCATTTCAGTTGCTTTCCTACCTCCCACAAGGCTTCTCTCTCTCACACACACATGGTTAGTGAACTGGAAAGGAAACACAGTGCTGTTTCTCCTCCTTTGAAACAATAACTTTTGTTAGTTCACTTTTGCCCCCTTGCTTTCAGGAGCAACTAACTGACAAGGAACCAAACTGCATGTCTGCTTAGAAATAAATCAACACAGGAGAGGAGCTTCACTATTTTGAAAATCCTTGGTTGTTCTCTGTTTTTACATACTCCATTTCCACTGATGTCACCATAGTGCTGAACAACAAATAAAAATAATGCATGAACATAGAATCATGGAATACAGTTGGAAAGGGCCTATAAGGTCATTGAATCTAACCCGCTCCCTCTATACAGGACTCCAGCGCAAACGTAAGGACACGTTCCTGGGAGCAAACATTGAACTGAGTGGGACTTACTTCTGATTAGACGTACATAAAATGGTGCTGTAAAACATGAAGCAGCAGTTCACATTGAGATACACTTGCTCCAGGAGTCACAGTCTTAGTAGTTCATACCACCAAATACTTCCACACAATGGTGCTTCATGGCAAATATGATAAAATACAATATAAAAACAACCCTTTAAAATTGCCTTCCCTTGTATTTGTGCACTTTTCAAAAGCTGTCTAAAATTAGGTGACTGTAGTGAAATTGCTTTGCACATATTTAGTAGTCTTTGATACAGATTGTGCCCAGGATTGAAGTGTTAGAGGGACACCTAGGAAGGTATTCTATTCTGTATTTTATGCTCCATTGTTGAAATAAACATAAATCTGCTAACCTTTCATGTTTAGTTTTCTTGCACATCATGTACTATTTATGTCATTTAAAAATACTTGTATAATAATCAATTGTGCCCATGTGCACACAGGAGGACCTCTAACACACTGTTTTTGCATTGCTAAAAATAATCTGAAACGAGAAATACTTTTTTTTTGGAATGGGACAGGTCAACAAAGCTCACAGAATGGCGCTCCAGGGACTTGTTCCAGTCCGAACCTGAGTGTTTCCAGGGTTACTTTTAGCAGTGTGAGGGCCCCATTGCACGAGTGGTTGCAGTTGCAAGTGTAACAGAATCAATGGAAGCAGAATATCCCCATTGCATGCTAATATTTGAATGCCACACTTACTGCATAATAATCTATATTGATAAATTATCTGTTACTGTGTTAACATACATTCATTTGCATTTCAAGTGCGTATGACTGTGAGATCCCTGCTTCAGGAAAAGCTATAGTGAAAACAGATATTCAGATTGCCCTTCCTGCTGGGTGCTACGGTCGAGTAGGTAAGTTGGCAAACAGAAGGGTTCTAATCTTGCAAAGGCTTTCAGGGTTCCTTTCAGGAAATTTGCACAATATATTCTTTAATTCTCACCACTCTCCATATGTATTCTTTTTTGGAAATCATCCCAAAAGTTGCTAGCTCTAAACCAGTGGTGGCAAACCTATGGCGTGCATGCCACAGCAGGCACACAGAGCCCTTTGTCAGCTCATGAGCCAAGTCGCCCCAGCATCGCCCCATCAGCTAAGCATCGGATAACAGCGCACATAGAGGCCATGCACATGCTTGGAAAGGAGTAGCAGCACCAGGCAATGACATAGAAAACAGAGCGAGTCAGAAGGGGCCTCCTGGGCCATCTAGTCTGACCTCCGGCACCAGCCGGCTCCGCTCACGACATGCCCACCATGTGGACGTCCAGCCTATCCTTGAACACCCACACCAATGGGGCCTCAATGACCTCTCATGGAAGCCCATTCCACACCCTCGGGGTCCTGACTATAGACTCATTGGCCACAACTCATCTGAGCTTTCACATGACCGGTCAGTGCTCTGCCAGAGATATATCGATATTTGCTTGGACTGGCTGTGAGTTGTTTTTTCTAAACTAAAACCTAAGTTTTCAAGTTTTATTGCAGTGTTGGCACTTTGCGATAAATAAGTGGGTATTGGGTTGCAGTTTGGGCACTCAGTCTCTAAAAGGTTCATCATCACTGGGTTAGGGTTATAAAAATGAGGTGTCTTGGTATGATTTTGATGGTTGGGCTGTGTTAAGAATGGGCAGAAATGATGAACTGTGCAGAAACAGCTGCCTAAGGAAGACTTTTTCAAAATCGCCATCTTTTCTATGGAACTTTAGCCCTATGTTAGGGTTCGGGGTGTGCACCAGGGTGGGGTTTGGGTTAGAAAAATGAGGTGTCCTGGTATGATTTTGATGGTTGGAATGTGTTTAGAATGGGCTGAAATGATAAGCTGTGCAGAAAATGCTACTCAAGAAAGGCTTCTGACTCTCCCTGTGTTACATAACTAAGGCATCTTTCTTTTGGCATATTTGTATATTGCACCAACTCACCCTGGCAATAAACTTCGGTGAGTTGGTTGCTATATGAACAATTCATAGTGACTACAATAGATAATTTGCCCTCACAGTAGGTTGATCACCTTCCTTCCTCCAGGGTCCTTGTGCCACTATCTCTGGGGAATCCTGTGGCAGAACCAACTTGTCTTCTCTGCTACAATCTTTCCTAGCACTGCCTAAACTTAGTAGAACCCCACTTGCAAAAAGGACATAGAAAATCATATCTCCAGTAAACACCTGGTTTTAAAGGAGGTCTTAGAGTTTCAATATCCATTTGGCTTGACTGCCAGTTTTCAGCTTGCTGCAACTTTTTGGACTGTTATCCTTTTCCCCTTGGAGATCATGAAAGCTGCTTTGACAGTGGATTTTCATGAACCCCATTTTGACAGCTTCTTCAAAGTGCCAAGTTTCACTTTGCTGGAAAACATTTTAAACGAAATGCCATGCACTGTGTGCAAACACATTTTTTAAAATATATTTTAGCTGTGCAATTATGTGACTGGAAATTTGTAGTCTTGGCTTCTTTGGTGCTGCAGGTACCACCCCTGGACATTAAGTCAAAGAAAATCCAAGTGGAATTAGTGTTCCCTTTGCTTTCTTTTGACAGCTATCAAGGGAAAGCAAAGGCACAAGTGATCTTAGCTCACAGAAAAGGATTACTCATCTTTTCTCTCCCTCTCTGACAGTCCTCAGGATTAATGTACACTTTACACTGTTTATTCAATATTTTAGGTATTCAGGAAGGTGTAAAATGTATACCATCCCCTATTTTTTTGTGGGGGGGAGTTTAGACAGTTTGAAAACTGACTGTTAAAACCTTGGGCCTCCTTTTAAAGCAGGGGGTTAACAGAGCAATGGCTAGTTTCGGACTAGGAGACAGGGTCCTTTTGGTTTGTTGTCACCCCAGTTTTTTGGTTTGCAACTGAAATTTAGTCAAGTGTAGCCAGTACCACACATACAGTCCAATTCTAAATCTTACTAAGTCACCAAATATTGTTTTGAGTGCTGATTACAAATTTTCTGTTTTAGTTCAGTTTCACAAGCCGTGGCATTTTGTCAGCAGGTCAGGGTTTTGAGATATGACTCACTAAAGCTCTTAGTATGTTTTTAGTTTCAATATAAGAAAGTCATTTCAGTGTGTCCTTTTTACTTGAAGTCCTTAAAGGTGACTCTTATGTCCCTGGGCTATTAGGAACTTGTTAATAAAAGAATTGCATTCCAGCCTTTTTGATGTGTAATATTATAATATGACTAGAGTACTTCTGCTTGCCCATATAAAATGCGTAGTATATGGTAAACCCTTTATTCTGAGGATGTTTTCTTGCCTTACCTGAAATGAATGACTAACCACTGAGAAGGAAGAGGAACATCATAGCAATTGTTCTGTCATGTAATACAACTGTGTACTGGACGCAGCATCCCATGCCGGTTCCAGAAGCATGGCTCTCTTAATTTAGTCATGTTCATATATGTCATATCTCTAATATTAATTAATCTGAGTGAGTCTGCATAATGCAGCCAAGAAAACTAATATTGCTACATGTAACTCCCTTAAAAGCAGCTCTCAAGTCTGTGTGTATTTTTGCTGAAAGCAGCCATATAAACTTCTTGCTTGCTAATATGTGCAAAGCGCTTAAATGTAGTTGGTGGTGAATAAATTGCACTGGATATGATGTACATTTTTCGTGCTTTTCCTCTTTTAGCTCCTCGGTCTGGATTAGCTGCAAAGCATTTCATAGATGTTGGTGGTAAGTAAGCTTTTGTATGGTATGACACCTCTGTAAATTTATATTTTCAAAATGAAGTTTATGCTTAGGTTTTACCCTGGGAGTAAAAATGCTAAAGGGCAGGATGCAATGTTTCCCAGTAACTAAATGAACTAAAGTTACAATTTCAGTGGATAAGTGGTTCAGTGTCCCTTTTAAATACAGAATAGTGGATTGCACAACACTTCCAATACCTGGACTGCACAGACCAGCAAAAACAGGGATGCAGGGAGCAATTTTACCAAACTTATCACCCTTGCAGATTTTCTTAATCTTCTATCGGTTGTATCATGGCAAGGGGGAATTAACACCAACTCCAAGATGATGTTGCTAATCTGGGAAAGGGCCTTGGATCCAGTAAATCCAAAAATGTGTTTGCTCCACCCCTAACATTGCCTGATTTGGGGACTACTGCCTGCGTTTGCATCACTAGTGGTGCACCTAATAGCTGTGTCTCTTTCTGCTGGCATAAGAGGATCCTCCAAGGTGAACCCCTTCTTTGCCCCTGATTGCTGACATTCTTCTGCTAGCAGAAGCACTTTGCCACTTCCCAATCTCAAAGAGGTTAGGATTACTTTGTCCTAGCACAGAGCACACTATATACTCCCCGTACTTTTATATAACCCAGGAGAAAATTGCTGATAGACTAGCTTATCTTTTAGGTAAATTTGTCTGTTCTTCATTAAGAAGCCCTTAATAAAACCTTCAGGACAGCCCAAAATTCCTTCAGACATAGTTTGAAAACTAATTATAAAGAGAAATCATGGATTCTTGATCATTCAGCATGCCCATCTGAGTTCAAACCTACAATATAATATCTATCCTATATCATTTTTGCACTCTAACATACAGTATAGAAGATCATGATATGCTGCACACTTAATAATTTAATTACTATTAATATAGTCATATTGGAAACATTTATTTGTAGTATTATTTGTAATTTTATCAGTGCTCTCAAGAAAACTCACACTACTTGCAATGAAAGAACAGAGCCCATGTAAAGGAATGCTAATCTCTTAACATGGGTTTTAGTTGATTATGTGACAAAAATGGGAAATGCCTCTTGATTGTGTTTCCATTTTGCTTTTATAAGCACTTTTTAAAAATAAAGTTTTAAATATGCTACCTGATCCGGGGTGGGGGGGCACCTGTTTATTTGATACAACATAGTAAGGTAGGGTTACAACACTTAATCAAAGTCAGATTATTTGAAATCCCAGGCAATAAACAGCATGTCTGGGGAAAGTTGGAAACATGCATGAGTCTGAGAATCACAGCTGGTAGGTGTGGATAGTTTTCCTACAAGTGGAATGCCAAAGTCTTGAAAGAGTAGGGTTTTTTGCCTTACATCAGTACTTCCCACTGCCAGGTCTTGTGCATGAATTTTCCAATTATGCTTTCCACCCAAAGTACAAAATGTAGATATAGCATATAAAGAGCTTTGCGAACTAGGTTCAGGCTGAATGTAATGTACCCTCAACGTACCCTTGTGTAAATGTCAGGCTGGGAATTAACAATCTTAGAGTCAAATCTGGTTGCATTTGTTTTCCTCGTGACCCTTTTCTCCAATTCTTTTCTCCATTGACTAAAATTGCATCTCTGGGCACAAAAAGGTCATTTGAACTCTGCACTTGGTTCAATCATATCCCAGCTGGCCTTGTTCTAATGTGAAAGATGCCCTATTAATCACGTGGTAGTGAAAGATGCATTGTGTTACTCCTCTTGACAGCCAAGAACTCTCTCTGGTTGGCCTGTAGATGCACACAATAAAGTATCCCTGTGTCGCTGGCACTTAACCTTCACTAATGCAGTCAAATGGATTCCTTGAACCCCTTCGCTCGCTTGTTCTCAGTCTCTTGACGCTACTCACAAGCATTCTACGATTCAACAAACTTCTTTATATCAAGTGAAGCCTGAAATTAACCTCGTTTGGACATTTGCAATACTACGTTTAGCACAGAACTTTATTAATACCTTTAGCTGCAGCATAATACACAATCTCATTTCTGTGTGAAAGGAGTACCTGGCAGTATAATTCTCATATGACAATGAGGTGTCAAAGCCTTGTTTGTTTGTTTTGTTTAACTATCTTCCATGTTTCTCCATTAGTTTTTTTGGGGGGGGGGGCTGTGCTTCCCCAAAATCAATCCCCTTGATTGATGGGTGCGGCATAGGCTTCCTATGCAAGTACACACAGGAATGATATGTGTAGCATGTTTTTTTTTTTTTTTTTGAGTGGGGGTACACCATCTAGGGTGAGGAAGATCTTGAAAGGCAAAGACAGACATCTGACAATGCCAGCTAGTTGCTCCAGCATTGTTCCTCTGCCTTGGCTGTTTTATGACAGAAATGAGGTGTTCTGTCCTTTATAGTTTTAGATCTATGTTGGAAAGACCTTTATGTATTTCCTGACTGTCGTGGAGCTTGCCAGAAACCTTTCTCCTACAAATTGGCTGACAACACCATTGCAGAGTAGATGAGATGAGCCTCCCTCATGGTCTGATCATGAAAAGTAAAAAGTGGGAGAGTTTAAGTTTAAAATTTAAATATTCTAAATAAAATCTGCCAGAGAGATGAGTGACTAGCACAATTGGAAGCAAAATAGGCAATTAAACTGCCATCCTTGCTGTATTTTATGCATTTTTCTCAACATATCTTTTTTTTTAAGTATGAGGTATCCTTTGGCACAACAAAGAAAAGTTCTATTAGTTCTGCATTGTTTCAGTAAATGAAGTGAGAATGTTATATAAGAAACCAAATTTAAGATCTCCCAATAATTAATACACAAGCTGAATTTTATTATGCTTTACTTGAGATTTGCTGCACCAAATACCTCTGAAGAGGTTTGGAAAGCTGAAATGTACATTTGGCTAAACCTAACTGCTTTAATGCATCTGCATAGTCTCTAGACAGCAAATTTTTGGAATCCATTGTTGCTTTTTCAGCTGTACACTGAATATTTGAAATACTTGGTTCTCGGTTATATGTGATCTTTGCAGTTGAGTAAATGGACCTAATGCCAAAGGATTCTGTTATACTTCTTAATAATAAAATGTGAATTTAAATTCACACAAATTAGGAATAAATCTATGGTTGCGGAATAGAGCTGCCATTGAATTTGACCTCTGATTGGGTCACATACACTTCTCATTTTGCTACTTTGTTTAAAATACAGTAATGCTAGAGAGTCCTTTTGAATAAAAATGTTTTAAAGTCTATCATATTTCTAAAAAAACTTATGGGAATCTCTGTAACAATATATTTGAGTGTCTTTGTTTGGAATAAAGGATTTCAACACTATGTTCTTAGTTTGGCAGAAAGAATATCACATTTCATGGTGAATATTCTGCACTGAGACCCAACAGTGAAGCACCTGTATTCTGCCATATGTTTCCTTTTGGGTTATTGATATTAAATTACAATTTTCTGTCTGGATAAATTGAGAGTGGTGGAAACAAAATGGTAGAATCAAAATGCTAATGCTGGCAGGCAACAAGAAGCACACAGGTCCAGTACCCATTCTTAATAAACTTTGGTTTATTATGCTAGGAATATTATGCTTCACCACCTCATTGATTTCATTGTAATGTGAAACTAAGTCATAAGCAACCCATATCATAATGCTTGAGTGTTTTGAATAGCCAAGCACAGTGTGAAATAAATATGTAATAGAAATAATTTTGATATACTTGCTAATCATACTATTTTTACAGCTGGGGTTATTGATGAAGATTACAGAGGAAATGTTGGTGTCGTACTGTTTAACTTTGGAAAAGAACCCTTTAAGGGTAAGGATTAAACTTGGTGATTTGTCGAAAGTATAGTATGTTTTAGTAAATTAGGATTTCATTTCAAATTGGGTCATTTAAAAATGAGATACTGCTTTAAAAATCCTCCTCTATGCAGAAAAAGCGGGGGGGCAAACTAATTCACTCTGAGAGGAACCCTGTGTGTGACTTTGTACTCCAGGGAATAAAGGCAGCATATACATAATAAATTGTATTCTCTTTTACTCTATCAGCAGTTAACTTGCAGGCAAAAGGAAGAACAGTTTTTTTTTTCTCTTGACGCACTTCCATTTATGCATTATTTCTTTAACCATTTGGAATTTTTATTTTTTGAAAGAGAAAGGAAAGATAGGACCATAATGCATTTGTGTTGTCAATTATATTGCAGTATTCTTAAATCGCCACTATGAATATTGAATTCTTTATTGTTTTGGTTTTGAAGTTAAAAAGGGGGACAGGATTGCCCAGCTGATATGTGAACGGATCTACTATCCTGAAATCGAAGAAGTCCAGGTAAGGGACTTGAAACATTTCAAGTTAAAATGTTGGATACTAGCCCAGGTGACTTCATTCAAACAGAGTTGAAGAGAAGGAGTGAGATCCCACCAGTGCTTGAAGTACACTTTAACTTCAGAGTGTTTGTCATTTACTAACTGCTGTACTTTATGGGTTAATCTCTTGCTCTCAATCAGGAGAGATACGAGCACGCAGCCTATTGTGGCTGAGTTTATCATCAGGAAATACTGCACTGTGCTGTCGTTGCGTGCAACCTGTGGGCAGCTGGTTGTGACCTCTCCTGTTGTACAAACCAGGCAACGTGGGTTGTTTGAAGGTTAGACATTCCTCAGATAAAACCTTGCGTTACTTGAGAGTTAACACTTAAACAACTCTGCTGCCTTGGGGTTCACATGACACAGGAAGGCATGCCAAAAAAAAAAAAAAAAAAGGTGTCCAGAGGCACCTTGTGTAACGCAACGGCTGCCATGAGTAAATTTAGTTCAGGTTGGCTGTTGAGGTATGCAGACCTGGTCATTGCAGTGGACATTAAAAAAAAAATACAATAAGAGGCAGTAACTTTTAAGATCGCTTGACTCCGTTTTTTCCCCCCCCAGGTGTTAGATGAAACAGATCGTGGTTCGGGAGGATTTGGATCCACTGGGCAGAATTGAGAGCAGCTATGTGCAATGTATCGTTTCATTTTGTCTTGTATACAGCATTTTTGTATAAATAAAACTTTTTTTTTACTAGATGAGTGGAAGTTACAGCTATTATGCAAGAAAAAGTATGTAACAGTTTTAGTGAAATATGGCTTGGCTTGCTTGCTGTAATGCTGCAGCAGTGTAAATGAATCTGCAAAGGATAAAACCATCAGATACTCATTTATGTTGTCTTGTGACAAAATTCTTCCAACGGCGCTTCACAAGAAAAGATGAAACAGCAATAAAATACTTAATATAAAAACGTGGTTAAAATACAACTGAAACAATGCAGCAGCATTGCAACAATGCAACACCACACAAAGGGTCTTGCCAGCAGTTGTCCCTAGTAATTTCTTAGGTGAATTGACTTGATTGGCATGTGCTGAGCTACAGTGCCGAGCAGGACGATCTTACCCAACAAATCCTGCACTTCACAAATGCTCTGACGTGAATCTTTACGCCATCACCTCTCTAGTTGCCATTTGCAAGGGCACGTGGGAAAAGGTTCAGCGGTCCAACTGGGTCTTGCTTTTTGAACCACGGGGAATGATACTTTTTTCCCTTGTGCTGTGTTTCCTGTTGCTGGATACAAAGGTCCACGGAGCCTTCTAACCTATCCATGTAATTGTCTTCAATATTTCAGTAGTTGTACAGCCTCAGCATTCTTCTCAGTTTTTCTAGCCTTTGCAGCTGCTGTACTTCCTAAGTTTGCGATAAGCCAGTGACCAGGTACCAGCTAACTAGAAGGACTCGTTGGTAAAGACCCTGATGCTGGGAATGATTGAAGGCAAAAGAAGAAGTGGATGGCAGAGGTTGAGATGTCTGGAGGAGTCACTGGAGAGGGGGGGTGGGGTTGGTATACTCCGGGGGACGGTGGCAGACAAGAGAACCTGGAAGAATGTTGTCTACCATGGGGTCACGAAGAGTCGGGTACAACTTTGCAACTGAACAAGAAGGGAATTTGAGGGTGCCATTTCCCACCTAAGACTGGTGACCATATTTCCACACATTCCCAATGTTGGGTGAACCTTGCACTGTCAGTTTTACGATACTTACAAATGAAAACGCTTTCCAAGAATGCAGCTGTTCTTGTTCTTAAAACTGAGACTTTGATGTCACTTTTTTCAGTTACCTTTTGCAAATGGGGGCACTCAAAAGTTCATGAAGACACTGGTGGGGAGTGCGCCTCTTTCCCAGTGTGCTTCCTGCATGGGCTTTAGCATAGAAGTAAGAGTGAATCTAGAGTATTTTAAGGATTCTACCTCTGTAGTCAAGTACTGCTGTGGTATAAATCAAAAGTAGAAATGCCTTCTAATTTTCCATCCAGCTGCTTCAAGCAGAAAGGCAAAAATTAATGAATTGGTGAAAAATTCTGCTTTGGAGGGTCACTTCTATGCAGTTGTTCTAACTTGTTTCTAAAACTGATAATTATGGTTTTTTATGGTATTTAAAAGCTTTCAGGCCTTTCCAGTTACTATATGTGAGTGAAAATACTTAATATCCATGAGGAATCTTCACTAATAATGTAGGCAAGAGTGTAATGTGCAAATGTTATCCAGAGAGGGATACAAGTTTGTTGGGAGATGACAGAAAATGCTGGGGGGAAATGCTGATGAAATTGTCACATGCACAGGTCTGTTGGAATATTAATTAGCCTTCAATAGCTTACCATCAAGCTAAAAGCCTCTATGTGCTAACTACCCCTTCCAAAAGAGACAAATTCTAGGCTGTTTTTATAGCATGTTATTCTCTAGCTGGGCTAGATGGAAGAAACAATTGGTTCCTTATTTCCCTGGCCCTGAGAATGGTTTACGCCAATTTTTAAATTTACCGAAGAGACTTTTCCTGGCCTTGTATGCTTTAAATGCAATGCCAAATGAAAACCTACCAGAAACTTGAAGAAATTGTACAGATAGAATGAATCTGCTATTGTACGATTTCCAAAGCTGCAATTTCCTGCACAAAAACAGGAAGAGTAGTTAGCTCAAATAAAATGTGGGATGCCACATCTGTGAATTTTCTTCAGAGGCAAAAATACGTTTCGTTTTAAAAATTACACAAACTGCAAAAACTAACTATTTGAGCAGGAAATGGAAGAAAGACGCTTAATGATTGATTGTGAGACAGCACGTGTGGGTTAGTTTGCCTTCCATCTGGGCACAGTTGCCCTCAGCATACTTCATTCAGCAGCAGTGCTAAATTATGTGACTGCATGCGGTTCATTGCAGGGTGCTGAAATCTCCTGCCCTTCCTGCCGGTCTCAGGATCCTCTCTTCTGTACCGACTGCAGTTTCTGAACTGACTTGAAAGCCAGTCCTAAGCAAGAACATGGTATTTTAAGCAGGTGTGGCCATCATAGTGGAAGCAACAGGACCTTCATATATATTAAAAACTTTCATATCTATGATTCGTTGCAACCTTTTCAGCCTGAACCACTGTGCAATTAACTGGGCAGAAGGACAACTTTACATGTGCACATCTTAAGTTTGAATTTGGTTAGCACACTGTGCTCTGCCTGGCCTCCGAGGAGCCCAGGGTGCCATGCATGCCTTCCCATTACTGTTCCCAATGGTCTTTGGAGGTGGGTGAGGAGGGTAAATGATTCAAGGTCACCAAGGGGAGCTTATAGCTGAACAAGGATTTGAGCCTGGGTCCCTGGGTTAGGCACAAACCACTGGGCCAGGCTCTCAACTTGCCCTTGCCTTGCATGGCAGAATTACACAGATGGTGTGTCAAGCAGCCATCAAGCTTTGTCCTAGCATCAGTCCACAAACCCGGCCTTTGTTGTGAGAATGGACTCATCTCGGCCACTTGTATGGTATACTTAGAGCTATACTAAAAGTAAAATTCTGCGTCATGAATGAGATTTAGCACAGTGTACGGTATGTAGTTTTTCTCATTGCCATGTTCATATGTTGCATTTGCTCATGAAAGTTGTCCTCATCAGCAAATTGTTAGCTGAATACAGCCAGCTCGTCCCCTGCAACATTTTCGCAGTGCTTAGGCAGGTGTAAAAAATAGTCTTGTTGCAGTTGTAGGTTGCTATACATGCCAAGAGGGTTGGAATTTAAACAGATCTGGTCTGACTCCTGCTTAATGCTGTTATAAGGATGATCTAGAAGCCACTGGGGATTGAAGCCCTATCTCACACATTAATTACTCTGACATCTGGGCTTTTGCGATCTTTTAAGGATACTGTTCCTAATCATGAAATGCAGAAACTTAATGAAAGCTGAAATTGTTAAGTAGGTGAATGCCATTGCTGCTGTTGCAATCAAAGGCTTTTCTGTGGGATCTATTACATGCAGCCCTACTAAAGGTTTCATGCCACCTTTTCCATATGTTACCATGATCCTTAATTTTAAACTTTTTAATTTTAAGCTGTAAAAATAGTTGAGACAGTCTGGGAGCACTGCATCATGCTTAACAAACTAACCACTAGATGGCACTTGAAGTTTGCCTTTTATTCTCCCTCTGGGCACACACTTCTGCAAGGGGTGTCCCCCCTCCCCCAGTTCTGTAATTAATCACTGATAATTCCCAGTGGGACTGTGTTGGTGGAAAGCAACATGTAGCAACAGTTGAGTGAAAGCTGGCGAAAAGCAGGACTCTCGAGGAGTGGAACAATGTCTGTAATTGAAATAAGGTTGGAAGTCTGAGCCGTTTGCACAATCACTCCTGGCTCAGGAGAACAACCAAGGAGGAGCCAGTGGCCTCTTTCCCCTGCTGGATTTCAACAAGAATGGAAAATTGCGATGAAGAGAAATATCCTGCTGGCTGCCACCACAAACTTTTATCATCTGTTCTCTCATTATTTAACTTTTTTTTGTCGCCATGATGGTAGTCATAAGCATGTAGAACCCCTTCATTTTGAACTAAACTGCTTTGTAAGAGCATGACTTCCTGAAACTTGTTATAGCTTGAGAATCCTCCTGAATATTCCTCAATTACTGTGTTGGCTGGAACTACTGGCAACTCCTCAGACAGGTACTTGGTGTCTGCAGTCACTGTTTCTTTGGCTCGAGGACAGTAAAAGAAGTTTCCGTTTTAAGCAAACTTCTGTGACCCTACCTATTTCCTGCCCTGTGAAATCTCCTGGTAAGAATAAGTGTCCCTTTCTTTAGTTAGAGTTCAGCATGTGTTTTTTGGCAGGCCTGTCGTTTTCAACCTGCATGTTTGTGTCCTCAACTGAAACTAAAGTGAACACTCTGCTTCAGTGCTTCCCAGCTTTTGCAGAAAGGAAAAAAATCACGCTGCAGGCCATTCCAGTTTGAAGAAGCGGTACACAGCACTTGCGACCCTCGAGTGTAAAGAAGAGGGTTCCGTTCCATAAAACCTTCCATACACCAAGAAAAGAAGTCAGGGTATTTTATAATGAGTAACAAGAATAGAGTCAAGTTAATGCATGAGATGAACAGGGTGCTAAACAAACTCCTAAAAGACAGTGTAGCTTTCATTCCTCAACTCCCAGATACCTTTAGTGTGTGGTTGTCACACCTGGACAGTGAAACCCTCAACAAATCTAACTTTTAAAGGATGTCTCCCTGTGGCATCATAACATGTAGAACATTGGCTTTTTCAGCCGCTGCATAGTACTTTTTTCTTGTTTATTTTTACTAATGTCCATGTTAATTTTCAGTTCATAAATACAAGCCATGGTAGAAACATGCCAACATAACCAAACTCATACCAGGTGTCTCAGTAGTCAACAGGGTTGTACTGGATTTTAAACCTCCTAATTCCTTTTAAAAATAGACTTCATTTTTCTATTTAAAAATATTAATCTTCCCTCTATGGCTCAAATTATATTAATTAAATCATAATCCTCAATTTGCATATTAACTCTATTCTGTTTATAGCCATTCAACTAGCCATCAGTTGGGAATATATCCTTAATATAATGATGCGAGTGGGTATAAAGAGTATTCAGAATGTACAATTTCTGTGATTTATCCTAACGCCAAAAAATCCATTTGGGAACAGAAATAATCATGTAGTTCTTAGGGTTTTAGACTGGGTTTTGGGAGATCTGGGTTCAAGTCCCCACTTGGCCACAAAGTTCACTGGAGGACTTTGGGCCAGTCACTGACTCTCAATCTAACCTACCTCAGGGGGTTGTTGTGAGGATAAGATGGAGAGGAGAAGGCCTATGTAATCCACCTTGAATTCCTTGAAGGAAAAAGGGTGAGATATTAAATAGATCAACAAATACATAATTTTCTATACCACCTAACAGCTGAAGCTCTCCAGGTGGGTCACAACAGCACATTATATTTATACACACACCATTAAAACATGAAAACACCATAAAATGTAAAGCCAAATTTAAAACAGGAAAAAGTTATCAGAAGTTGAGAGAACCCTAGTGAACCCTAACACTTAGCAGGCTTCGGCAGCTAATTTAAATGCCCTGCAATAGAGGACAGTCTTTACCTGGTGCCAAAAAGATAACGAAGTTGGTGTACAAAGTTGGTATAGTTCCATTCTATCATTTGGGGTGGGGGGTGGGCAGCACACACAAGGGCAATCAGAGGAAGGTAGCTGAACTTCAGAAGGGGTGTTCCGTCAGGAGCTATGTAGGGCTTTATAGGTTAACTCCAGCACCTTGAATTGGGCTCAGAAGGATATAGGCAGCCAGTGTAAGCGGGCCAGAAGTGGTGTTACATGATCAGGTTGGCTGATCCCTGTTGCTTGTCCAGCTGCCGCATTTTGCACAAGCTGCAGCTTCTGAGCAGTCATCCAGGGCAGCCCCGTGTATTAGCACCACTGAAGCTGCACCTCCAGTACCTCTTCTCTACCTGTGTACAGATTTTACTAATCCAAAGCAGTATCAAGTACCCTATGAAGTGCGATTGTAAAACTTGTTTGTGAAATTTGCTCTTCCGTTACGCTCCTTCGATTTTCCATATCGTCACCTGCTTCCAAGTAACTGACAGGCTCCGGCTGCACATACGGCTCTGAGCTCAGGGGCTCCCATGTTGTGAGGGCGTCGGGCAATAGATGGTGTCATCCATGACTGGTAGAAAGCGGGCATTTGTTTCACCTGCTGCTTCCTACTAGTGCACAACACACAATGGTAGGTACTATTTTTCATTCATGTAGTTACTATATCAGGTATCAAAAGAACATCGCTAGCATGTAATGCTCAGAAAAATACCACCAGCTTCCATTTGTCCGGGCCACAAGCACTGTACTCTCCTTTTGGAACCTTTGGGAATTAGAAAGATTAATGCCGGCTGAATTATGCCATAGGTTTGTACTTTAACTCTTAAAAAATTGTCTCAAAGGAGGAACAATATGTTAATTGCAATGCCTAAGTATCCTACCAGGTTATCATAGTTAATTATTTAAAAAAAACAAACTGCTGGAGTTCACTTCGTCTGCTAAGACAACACATCTGCAATGAGCAGCAGGGACCTTTCATGGAACGAGACGTGGCTCCCAGCACTATGAAATGGCCTGGGTGTTGTGTTGCTGTTTTTCACGTGCACGTGCAAGGTTCAAGTGTTTAGAAAGGCATTTGATTTCTAAAGCTAACGCTATGCTTGGTCTCTATCAGTTAAGACTGCGGATGCTACTTTTTTTTTTCATTTTATCATTTGTTTATTCAGCGTTTTGATCTCTTGTGCTTACCATGTTTTATTTTTAATTAAATGTGAGCCGCTTTGAACATCCTGGGATGGCAGGATATAAAGTATCTTATGTGAATACCTAAATAATAACTGAATTAACTAGTTTGTGTCTTTTATAGTGAAACAAATTTTTCTCTTGATCACTGTTGATTTTGTTGAAACTAATCAAAACAAATCATCAAAGAAACTGAACCATCATAAAAGAATTATTGAATTCTTTTAACATGAGTATTTTGTGGTTTACAGATTGGTAGCTAGAGCAAAAAAGACAAAAGCAAAACAAAAACAAAGGGTTTTTCCAACTGCCCAAGTCAAAATAGCCACATATCCTAGTGGATAAAAAATTCTTCAGTTGAGCAGATTCATCCAAGACACCTTTCGAGAAAGATAGGGGCTAGACCATAGATTAGGTCTAGGAAACATTTTGTCCTCCAGATGTTTCTGGGTAGCAACAAACAGCATTTCCAGCCAGCAGAGCGAGGACTGAGGGATAACGAGCTACAATCCAACAACCTCTAGAGGGTTCTGTGTTCCCCTTTTAACTTTCATATACAGTCCCTGCCATATCCTTGGGTGGTCAGAAGTTATTTAGTAATAATGGAACAAAAATGCCAACCTGCCAGAATATTTCATCTTGGTCAGTATAAGGTTAGGCTTGCACAGGGAGGGTGTGTTTGGGATTATGTTTTGATATTTAGGTTTACTTTATATTATGGATATTTTAAAGAACAGAACCTGGAAGCCTTCATAGTTGTGTGTGCTTGAAGAACAAAAGAACAGAAAACTAGGGGGTGCAATTAAGGGCCTGGGTACGAGTTACTGGGCATAGCCATATTGCACAGGTGGAGGTGCCTTCTTTACTGCAGCTACACCCTTAGGATTCGTAGGCCTGGAACTCATCGGTGTTTTCCTGGAAGCTGACGCAGCCACCTTGCCCGCATGCTCAGCATCCACGAACTCTCTCCTGTATTTCGATGCGGTCCAACAGACTGGAGGTGCAGCTGCTGCTCATGTTCTTTCCAATCGCATTGCAACCACAGCGATCAATTTGTGCATGGCTCTAATCGTATCCAGAGGCGCTGGCCACAGATGAAATGCGAGGATAAATGCAGTGGCCTGCAATGCCGTTGTGTCGGTTGTGCACAGAGGGTTGTTCCTGGCAGAGCCGGGACTGTTTGTTTCCCTTTAGCCTCGTGGCTTGACTCACTGTGCTTCGGAAGGTCATTCCCAGGCTTTGCTCAACAGTGCTGCTAAGCAACGTCCCGGAGAGCCTAGAGGACACCGGCGCATCACGGCCTGTTCCCTCCACACTGCGTGCCTGACGTGGGGACACACCCGAGCAGCTTGGGAATGCGCGCTCCTTCCAGGAACCAGAGTTCCCACATAACTACATACTGGGCTGTGATCAGGTTTTGAGGCGAGCCACAATTCAATTAATATACTGCTCACAGTGAAGCTACAAGTGGAGTCTTTAATTTGTGGGGATGGATGCTTTTCCCTTAAGTGTTTGCGAAGCTTCGGTTAGCCATCCCCAGGTTCCACTCCCTGAAAAAGGCTCCAACATCCTCCGAAAAATAGCACATAACCGTTTTGAGCGAATGGTTGCAGCTATTCGGGTCCCTATGTGCTGCACGCCAAGGAACAGTGAGCTGAAAAGCTTCTTGTGGCTTGTATGTGGTTAGCAGAACATCAAATTAGTGTTAAGGAAAATTAATATTAATTGTGGCAGCCAGACAGAATCTCCGTTTTCAGAGGGAGGAGGGCTCTGAGGGTGACGTGCTGGGAGCAAGCAAGCAGGGAAGGTTTTCCCTGCTTTGAACGGCTCAGACACATCCAGCCTCATAACCAGCCATTCTGGGTTGTGCAGCCCTTTGCTCTAATCCAACAAGGTAGTTCAGAGCAGGGTCACTCTGAGGTGGAGCATCTGAGGCAAGCAGCCCCGCAAATTCAGCCATATGCTGGCAGCAAGCTAGTCTGCACGGCAAGAACCTGGAATGGCCACCTTCATTCCGTCGCTGGCAGTAGAAGCGCCGCACAAGGACGGAGCCATAACAAATGCAACCGGCTCTTCCTACAGTACCCAGAACATTCCTTGCACAAACGGGACGTCAATAAAACATGGGCTGGTTGCTTGGCGGATGAATGCTGCTTTTATAAATAGAGTCACTCCAACTGCCTTTATGTTTTGCAAATTAGCTTGTATGTGCACCTTTGTGTCCAAATTACATCCTGAGGTCTGAATCCGCCTGGCACAGAAGTTGCAGCCTCCCGGGAGCCCATCCCAAAAGTGGGCAAGCAAAAGGCTCTCACATGATGAAGTCTATCGGTGTGGACTTTTTCACTGACAATTGCTGTGTCACCAATCACAAACAATGACCCACTTTTGGAAGATTTCTCAAGACTTTGGGATCCAACTGCATTTAGAGCATTAATAAAAAGAAGACTAAATCTGAATAAGAAAAGAATAATCTGGGTGAATGATTTGGCCACAAGAGTTAATTATCATGCCATGTCAAAAATCTGGTGGGATCACTTAAATGAAAACTGGTATTTGAATAATATAATATATTAGAACCACTCAGGGAGCATTGGCTAATGGGTAGTATACCAATAGAATTAATAATTATTATT